CGGCTATGGGTCCTGTGCATCTTTCTTGGCGAGTTATTATCGTTGCTGTTTACCTTTGTCTTTTCTCATATTGTCATAATCTTTTACACAATGTAGGCCTACCGTGTTCAGTGATCACTTGGGGAAGAAATCCCACTTCTGTTATGTAGCAGTTTGGCACTTAAACCGTCGCACACGGAAGACGTGAGTTCGATTCTCGTGTTGTTCTTCTCTTTGTCCAGATGCCATCAACTAAACACAGACCTCATTCAAAGTAAAACCAAGCTGTATTGTGAACGAACGTGAAAGCAAGCAAAGCAAGTCCTGCAGGTTCATACTCATATTATGACTGTATACAATTAAAAGCGCCGTAAAACTCTCACCAAATTGAAACTGAAACAGTTCTCAGGTCAGTTCCATGATAACATTAACAATATGTGCCACACAGAGTACGCTCATTCACACAGTGATGAATTTTTCAAGGGAGGGAAGCATGTATATATATATATATTATTGCTACGCTTATATTTCGGTTACTTCCCTTGAATAAACGCAAGCTTTCCCTTTGGTTGATAAGAAGCTGGGCTGTGTGGAGCGCTAATCAGCTTTTCTCTTTCGTTGTACGAATCTCTATTCCTATTGTTTGTCCAATCAAAGATGTTCCAAATTACATATTTAAATAAGCCCTATACAGGCCTGTTATAAAAAATTAGCCTAATAAATACGAGGTACCCGCGATATGTGGTGTAGCGGTTAGGTCCGATCGCATGCAAGCCTAGAAAGTTGAGTTCGATTCCTGAGTGGGGAGAAATTATTCTAACAAGGATCTTGGTCTTTTTGCTGGGATGTTGTATCCTTCTCAGCTCGGGTTCGCCCTCGGAACCTACATTATAGCTGTCTCCTAAATGATTTAAATTGTGTCGATTTAATTTTAAAAAATTAGTAGAGGGTTTTACGGCGCTCGCAACTGCATAAGGTCATATGAGCACCAAGGGGTGGGTGTCAACAGAGAAGTCTTTACAGGGAATCAGAC